AGGCTGCACAGCATAGTGGGAGCATACAGCAGAGCAAAACTGCCAGTCACTACCCTGTGCCTAAAGAGAAAAAGAGCATGAATAAGTGGCCAGGGCCTTACTCTCCCCTTACAGGGCGTATCTCCAATGACCCAAAGACCTCCACTAGGTTTCACTACCTCTCAACAGTACAATTCTATGGACAAACCTTTGTTAAAGGTTTGCAGGCGTTTGGTGTACATGTAATGTTCAAACCATAGCTTTAATTAGTTGTGCTCAGTCTAGAGAAACAGTAAAAGCTGTGAGTCATTCACACTTGGCCCACTGTGGAGAGAGCCTACGGTAGAAAAGTAGACATGATTTCTATTCTCTTGATAATGTCAGTTCCTCCTCCTTTCTCCCATCAGATGCCACTTCTAACCTCTACTGCCCAGAAGGGGAAAGTGGGCTAAAGGGGCTAAAGGAGTTTGTCGAGACCTGATGATTGGTGCTGTCTGTTCTGGAGAAGTGTTTACAGTGGGTTCTTTCTCCTTTGAGTTCCCTTAAGCTGTTCTTTGGAGACCCCTGTTCCTAGGGATCTTGATCTGTACTGTTGTAATTCTGGTGATTCTCCTTTCTGAACTGTCACTTTGATCTTTCACTATAGCCTTGTTCTTGATGATTTAGTGCTTTCTGTCAGGATAATATCAACAGTGGCTCTTTGGGGCAGAGTCCCTTTAGAGAAGCTCCAGGTCAGTTTAGCACAGCCTTGCAATATCTGCACTGCTACATCCCATAGTACACACACATCTGCGACCTGTTGTTAATGTAGTAAACTGATTCCCCCAAATTAGGACCTCTGCTGTTGCCACAGGCTGCTTCAGATTCCTGCTCTGTAGATTTTTTCAGGCATGAAGCAGATGGCAGTCCAAGTCCCACCTCCAGGAACACATTTCTGTAACTCCAGCAAGCTCCTGCGGACTGCTGCCTTTTCTGCTTTGTGGGGATACATGGCACCATGCACTGTCCTCCCACCATATCCTCCTCCTGTGCTTTCCAGCCCCCCACTCTGCAGTCTCTTTTATAGGCAGGAGTTAGGTAGTCCACTATGTTCTCAAAATCAGTTCATGGTCTTCTTTGCAAATCCTGCACTATCAAGCTAACAACTCTCTTTGGAAGAAAAGTGCACTTGCCAGCTACTGTCTTGTGTACTCCTCAATCGAGGCATAATTAAAATCCCATTTTAACAGCCTGCCACAAGAGTTCTTCTCATTACATCTATTTTGTAACATGTTGTTTTACCCTGCTAAAAGATAATCTCCAGGAGGTCTAAGACCAGGTCAGCAGCATATAGACCCAGCAGCTAGTAGCTGAGTAAGTAAAATATAAACAATTTCTTTGCCACCTCACCTTCTCAAGCCAAAGCCCAACCCTTTTCTTCCCTTTCCCAGCCTTAGGTCTGCAGTTGTTTCCTGTTAAGGTCTTCATTTCTTAACTCTGCAAGAAGGGAGGACAGGCACTGATGGAGACACAGAAGCTTCTGGTCTCCACTGCTGCAGCCCTGGCCCTGTGTCAGCTGAGTGCTCTCCATCTTCATAGTCACTGCCCCTCTTTTTTGTGCTTGCCCCAGGCTTTCCATCAGTGTCACACTGTCAGTGCAGCCTTTCCACTGACAGTCACTTAAGCTAGATATAGCTACTGACTCCTAGGCCTCCATAAAGGGTCAGGGTCAGGGTCAGGGTCTGGGCCTCTGGATCAGATTCCTGTGGACGTTGAAACAAAGTACCATAAGCTGGGTAGCAGAAATTTATTCTCTCAAAGTCCTAGAATCTGGAAGTCATAAATCAAGCTGTCAACACTCACTAAGTCCCTCTGCAGCCTGAGGGAAAGATCCTTCCTGGCTTCTTCCTGGCTTATATAGGCTGTCAGCAAGGTTAGCTGTTTTTTATAGCTGTATTTTTTTTGAAGGTAGTAAAATACAACAAACAAGACAGAACTAAGCTAATTAAGACAAGGCAGTGAAATTGGTACAGAACTTCAGAGCAGGATACCGAGATGACAGTAATAGGTACCATAATATATCTCGTTATCTTCACAATAATTGTCCTTTCAATCAGGTATAGCAAAATCAAACCAAAAACAGAACATTATAAAACCTATCAAAACAGAATATTGAAGAGCAAAACAATTAATCAGAACAAAGCAAACAATAAAAACTGTATTTGCCTTCAAAGACAAGTTAGAAGCAAATCCCCCATATTTGCTATATTGCATACTGTCCTCTTTCCAAGAGATGCTCAGATCTCAGGCCCCAGGTCAGCATAATCAACCCAACAATATAAGCATTTAGTTGCTATATGTACCTTAATTGCTATCAACTCTGACTGTCCTCTACACCATCCAGTTGCTAAGGGGTTGGACATTTGATTCTTAGCCTGCTTGCTGATAGACTATTGGGAGACACCGACATGTTCTCTCCCTGGTGCAACTGGCTCACTTTGGCCACTGCTTACCAGGAAAGATGGCTCCTTGCTTTCTTGCTCAGCTCCCCAAGTTCCTACGGCTGGACCCTGGGAGACACTGACTTGTTCTTTTCCTGGTGCTTCTTGCTCATGCCGCTGCCACTTATAGGAAGAAGGGTGTATTTCTTATAGATGTATTGCCCCAATCTCTGCCTCTATTGTCACATGAATTCTGTATATATGTCTCTGTGACTTCACATGACTTTCCTTTAAGGAATCACAGAACATCAGTGACTGATTGGATTTAGGGCCCACCTTAATCCAGTTTCATGTCATTTGAACTATCATAGTTACATCTATAAAGACCCTATTTCCGAAGAAAGCCACATTCTGAAGTTCTGGGCGAGCACAAATTTTAGGGAAATGCAATTCACCTAGCACAACAGGTTTACTTAACTGAACTTATTAGCGGATGAATCCACTGATAAGTATAGCATCCCTATAATCCAGCCAGCTTCCACACACAATAGGATTTTGGGAACATTCTAGATCTAAACCATAACAGGTTTTTTCATAGCAATAAAAAGCTAATATGTTTTTCTAATTGTGGAAGGAATAATTGGGACATCAGGACATTTTTATGACACAGAATCAAAATATAACTTTTGTTCCATAAACAACTCATGCATCTGAAGATCCTTCTGCCTTGATCAAGTTCTTCTCTAGCATTTGACACAGCAAACAGGGATAGTCCTGTCATCCAGTTTCCCTATACCCCAACCCCTGAGCCTCCACCCCAATCTCCCCTGTACCAGTTGTACAGAAAAGTCCCATTCCAGAAGGTGAAGGGGAGAAGCAAACTGGGTTCCTACCCTACTTTGCAGCTTGGATGGAGGTAGAGAAGCTGGAAGGGTTCAGTAGTTTTGGAAGTTGCACTGCAAGAGCACTAAGGCCAGGGACTGAACTTGCTTGTTCATCTCTGCTCTGCCACACAGTGGACAATCACTGGATTTCTAGAGAATCAATGGCTGGTCCTTCCAGAGGCAGCAGCCAGACCAGCTGTTTCTCTATGATGATGGCGTTTCCTAGGTCTTGGATTCTTTGGACCAGTTCCTCATTAAAATACACCCTGATGTGAAGATTGGAAATTACAGTGACTGTTTTCAGAAGGGGCTTGTTCAGCTCGGGTACTCTCAAGTGCAATATGAAAGTACCACTCCATCTCTCTGTAAAAGCAATGGAGAAGTCCTTTTTCTGAGACTTTCTAGGAACACTTAAGCTCTGAAAAACAGCAAGGAGGATTCTGGGTACATTCAGGAGTTAGTCCTTATATGGTACTGTCGCGGACTGGCTGTTGGTTGCATAATTTAAGGAATCACATAACATCAGTGACTATTGTCATAATTTCCATAAATTTTTGCAGGTATTGTCTACAATACATTTCACTGCCATTTAACTTATTAGTGAAAGAATTAGCTTCTACATTTATAAATTTATCTCACCTAAATATTGGGGAAGAGAAAAAGTGTAAATCAGTCTGTATAACTTGATGCCAGTTTTCATCTTTTGTTTAGAGACTTACATAATAAATGAAAGATTAGCTATCTTAATCCTTATTCCACAAATCACATACTCAAATCTCATGAAAAAGATATGTGCTTAGAAGTATTTTCATTTCTAATCCTATTAAAAGTCAGGGGACCAAGTCCTATTTTCCATGGACCTTGGCTATTCACCAGGAGAAGCAAGCCAACATTCTACCATGTTGTAGCACCTATCAAGTGATGTAACATCGCCCCAAACACAGCCAGGGTGTGTATCATCAGTTATCTATTGCTGTGTAATAAACTCAAAATTAACTCAAAATTCAGTGGCTTAAAACAACAAGCATTTATTATAGTACAGATTCTATAAATCAAATATTATAAGTAACATAACTACTTGAGGTAAAATTCACAAAAATTGTGTATATTAAAGGTGTAAAACGATTTAAATATGTATATAATATGATTACCACAATCAAAGTAATCAAAATATACATTATTATACTTAGTTACTATTACATATGTGTGTGGTAAAGACACTTAAGATCTACTCTTAACAAATTTCATATACATAAATAATGTTATTAATTGTCATCTCCAATAGGTTCTCCAGAACTTATTCGTTCAAAAGTTTATAGCCTTTAGTTAACAACATTTCATCTCTCCTGTCCCAAGTATTTGACAGTTATCATTCTACTCTGTTTCTGAGTTCAATTTTTTTAGATTTCACAAATAAGTGAGATCATATAGTATTTGCCTTTCCGTGTCTGGTTTCACTTGGTACAATGTTCTCCAAGTTCATCCATATTATTGCAAAGGTCAAGATTTATTGAAAAAATGCATATAAACATTTTTTTTTACCCATTCTTTCACTGATAGACATTTAGGTTGTTTACATGTCCTTACCACTGTAAATAATGTGGCAGTGAATGTAAGCATGCAGATAACTCTCCAATACTGATTTCATTTCCTTTGGATGTATACTGACAAGTGGGTCTGTTGGATGGTCTGTTTTATTTCAATTTTTGAAGAACTATTTTCCATAGTGACAGTACATTCTCAAGGTGGTTGCATGAGTCTTACATGTATGTTCTGGGTCTGCAGTTGCTGAGGTTGGAAGATTTATCTTCATGCTTATCTCAGATGCTTGTTGACCAACTGGAGAGCTTGAGTTCCTGCCCAGATGGGCCTCTTTATATGGCTGCCTGAATGTCCACATGACATGGCATCTGCCTTCCCAGAAAGGATGTACCAAAAAGAGAGGAAGTCAGACTTTGAGAGTACTCCAACAGCCTATCCTCAGGAGTTAACACCACCAATTATGTCGTATTCTTTTGGTCACATAGACCAACCCTGATATGATATGGGAGAGCACTACACAGTGGTGTGTCCCAGAAGCCTAGCTCCCACAGTCAAGAACCAATTTCCTTCTGTGATCACTGAGGTCAGATGTAATGCAATTAGTCATAAACACAGATGAAATATATATCCATATCTATATTCATATCCTTCTCATTTTTTATTTTTTGGTTTTTGAGACAGGGCCTTGCTATGTAGTTCAGGCTGGCCTTGAACTCACTGCCATTTCCTCCAAACATAAGACCAAGTCTCATATTAACCTTTGTTTCAAAAGATGCAATAGAGCTTATTTTCAGGTCTTACTTTTTTTATGTACAAAACTCTACACTTATTCATGTACAAAAGTCTTAATTTATTCAGATATGCTCATTTCGTCTTCTTCTGGAACATAATTATAACTCTCCAGATGCGATCTCAAATCCCAGCCCAAATTTCTTGTGACTCCATTTCTTGTAGAGCCATTGGCCCCACTCTCTTGTATCCAGAAACAGAGCTTTCTTGTCCCTGTGGGCTGCTTGCAGCACTTTGGCAACTTGGCCATCAGTAATTTTATCCCATGAATACAATCTTACCCAAGTTACAATCTCTTGCAGGTTGGGCTTCACCAAGTTTCCATTAAATCAAGTGTTTGTTGAAGACTTAAGAGACAGGACTGGCGACAAAAATGATGAGTTAAGAGTGATGGTCCACAAAAAAGGGACAAAGAATTATAGGCGTTAAAATTCAGAAAATGTTTATTTCATACAAGTGCTTTAAGTACATCTGTTACAACACATGACATATTGAATTATAAAGCTTCATATTAGAGACAGCCATGTCTGTTCATTATGAAGTGCACCCAGGGCTGGGGATTTAGGTCAGCAGCATAGCGTCTGCCTTGCAAGCATGAAATTGTGAGTTCAGTCCCTGGACCAAAAAGAAAGAAAGAAACAAACAAACACCAAGCACACCCATTACTCATGCATTGTGTCTGTACTATAATGATTTCATTTGTTTACGTAGGTGTTTATTTCTCTTCCAAAGGCTCCTGCTTGGGTATTTATGAATACTAATTTATATTATTATTTATTTAAAATACTAATATCAGTGACATTTACTTATATTTAATTATATATTAATATTTTAGAATTTAAGACACCCCTTGTGTGTTGCAATAGACATATTAAATCCATGTGTCTGCCTGACAGTTTTATCTGGGGTTTATTTTTGGGATAGGGCTTGTATTATAAGCATCCTAAAAAAATATCATGCTAGGGCTTATTTTCTGGTTAGTGCTCATTTGTGGTGAAATACAGTATGTGACTTAGGCTGGCTTAGTATTGGGATTACAGCCATGTACCACAATGCCCAGCTGCTCATTTGCAAAAGGGTCGTTTGCCATTTCCCCACCCTCTTGCCATAGACATTTATGTGAGTTTTTCATATGATTTTTGTCAGGTTCAGATTGAACTTCTGCAACAAAGCACACCCAAAATAAAGTAACTAAGTCAAAATAGAAGTTTCTTCCTCTTTCACATTTTATCTACAAGAAAATGTGGAGGGTACAGAGTGGCTCTGCTCTTTGAGGGCAGCCAGGGACTAGCCTCCTTCTATTCACTGCATTTGCCTGGAGGGTTCTGCCTTAATCTGCATTATCAAAAAAAAGCGTGTGGTAGCAGCTTTCTTTACAGGATTTTGGCCTGGAAATTGCACGTCAATTCTGCTTATAATGGCCATAGTCACATGGTTAGGGCTAACTGCCGGAGAGGCTGGAGAATCTAGTCTCTACCTGGTTGCTTTAGTGCCCAGCTCAAATATGAAGGGCAGAAGAGAATGAATCACGGGAACAGTCAGAATTCCCTGCCACATAAAACCAAATAGGTGACTAAATAGGCACTGAGTGCAGAGCTGAGCTTCTAATGCTACCCCTACCCACTTCTGAGGTCAGATTAGACCCTAGTTTTCATCATCGTAAAACATAAGTTCAGTAAAATGAACTTACTGACCTAATCAGAGGTGTCCCGCTTTAGACACAGAGGAAAGTATGGTATATTTGCAAGGAATATTTGGAATGTTTGTGCTTCAAGCATTTTCTGACAATGGGATAAATAACATGTCTTCTTATTGGTCTTTATTATTAATCTTTGGTATACATGCTATTATAATGATCAAAGTATTTAAAGTTTTGTTAAATTTGTAGTTAATTTTACTTCACACATTTCTTTCTTAAAGTCTAGAAGTGTAGTTACTATCATTTAAGAAACTATGACCTTTTTAATACTAAAAAGGATTTTTGGTAGTTGAGCTCCCAGTACATAATAGATGTTCAGTAAATGTTTGTTGACTGGTTTAAATGATCATTATGTAAGATGGTTGGTCTTTGCCAACTTTAAAGTCTGATGAATTTATTTTAACTCTGAGGCAATTTTTCAGTTTGAGTTTACTGTAACAAATTATTTTTACATAATTAAAACCAGCTCTGGTCCACTGCTCTATTTCCCAAGTACTGGGAGACATTTCCATTTCACATGAATATAAAGCACTGCTCACTTAGCATTCACATCTTTAAAATCCCTTCCTGAAAATAATCTTTCCCTGTTGTAAAAATGAGGTCTGTGGAACTTACATGCCACCCTTTTAAGGTTTGCATTATAAATTCATTCAGAAGCATGGATTATATCTGCTCATAAGGAATATTAAGCGACAATGTGTGGAACATTTCAAAGTCTTTCCACAAAAATGTTGCCATTCATTATTTTATGCTATATAATGTCACTAAGTTCTGAAATATCGGCATCAAGAATATAAAATAAAATATGTTGGTTTGTGGACCAAGAGAAATCATGGTGCTCTGTTTACCCCCCTCCAAGATGTGTCCCCGGAGGACACATGCCAGCATGACATGTGGACAGATGGTGCCAGGATGTTCTTGGCCTTACGTTCTAAGGGGTGAGACAATGGAAGTGGAGTTTAAATGAGCTGGATTTGGGACAATACTCCTTCTGTCTTTTGGGGTATTATTCCTCTGGAGGGAGAAAGAGAGAGACCTAAGCTTATTTCATCATCTCTTGCTTGTTCACCTTCACTGTCCCCCATCTGCCTGGGTGACTCTAATGGTCTGTACTCGTTCACAGGTGGGCTGGTGCTAGCTGCCCAGAGAGGCTCTGTCCTGGACATTGGTGCACACACAAGGTCCTTCTCCTCTTCTTAGACTCTCATCCTTGATTTTTATTGGACTAATCTTGCCACTGAGTGCTGTAATTCAGGTGGTACTTAGGAAAGTTCACAGAGGCTGTGTGGCTTGTTTTATTTCTAGGTGGAAGGATTTTACCCGAGATAGGATACTACAGCAGTGGGAGGTGGAACCAAGGGGCTTTACCTTGAGGTCATCTTTCCCGCCCCTAGGCAATTTACCTGTCACCAAATTAATTCCAATGGGCTACTTGTGCATCAGTAATGTTCCTTAGGCTATATATATGCCCCCCCCCACATGTCTGACAGAGAAACCCAGACCCCAGCAGTCATGGAGTTTCTCTCTGCATCCTTAAAAATAAAAGCCACTTTTACTTTATATTTTTCTGTCTCCCTAGCCGCACCAAAAAACCTATCACTAGGCTCTGGGCTCCTTTATATGGCTTACTTTTGTTTGGAGTTTTGAAGCTAAAGCCAACTTTCTATCAAAATGTTCCTTGGTTCAACACCATCTACCACACATATGTGGAATCTGAATCTTCTCACAAGTTTAGGGACAAGTGAAGGATAGGACTTAAGGGGTCTCCTCTTCTGCCCAGGTCCTCTGTTTTTCTGTATGGAACGGTATTTCATAAGAAGGCATTACCACAAAGAATACAGGAAACTGACATAACTTAGACTACTATTCTAAATTTGGTTTTTAGAGAAAATTGTTTGAAATGTAACCAGTCAAAAAATTAAAGTTAAAAGAGTAGGATTCAAATTCCATTAATTATATGCTGTTGGCTAAGATATTTTATATCTCAGTTTCCTGGAAATGTGCATGTGTACATGCCTGTGTGTGTGTGTGTGTGCACATGTGTGTGTTCAATAATACGTATCTTTTTTTTTTTTTTTGTACCAGGGATCAGTCTGATGACCTTGCGCCTGCCAGGCAGGCACAATAATACATATCTTATGACTTAAGAGCTAATGAACTTCCAGAGATAACAAATGTCCACTGCATGCCACTTCTCAGAAATAATAAAGTAACTGTTTCCTAGGAGAGGTGCATTTGTTGCCTTTCTAAGGGGTCCACTGTTATAACTTCATATAGGGACTACTGGCTCCTTACTAGGTTCCCCAGCGCCTCAAGGAGCTACATGACTTTGTAGCTGGAATGCCTTTCACCTTGGTTCTAATTCCTAGCCTCAGCTTCAATCTGTCTAAAAATGAGTGGATTCCAAAGATAAGATCAATATTCATGGCAAAGCCTCATTCTGTACCCTTGCACCATCTTCTGCTAGGGTCCGGAAGTCTAACTGGCCTCTCCATCAGTGATCCGGATGTTTTGTCTTTGTTTGGTGGTGCTGGGATTGAACCCAGGGTCTGGCACATGCTAGGCAAGTGCCCTACCATTGAACTTTACCCAGTCCCTGTCCTGATTCTTTAATTCCAACTTTGCATATAAAAAACAGCCTTTGACAGATCTGGTGCTTTGCCCAGGGACACAAAGTGGACAAAGGGAGAGCCAGTAGCTACATCTGGGCAGCCTTAACTTAGGAATTCAGCTCTAATGCACATGACTCTGGGTCCTCCTGTGATCTCAACCACAGTGATCTCTAGCTTTCAGCCATTTTGACTTCAACTGTCCTGTCCTTTGAGTTCATGAATATGCTCCAGCTTGTCCAATTCTGTCACTGTTTTAACTGAAGATGAAAGCCATGTATTCATGGAGCAGTTACTTACATAGTGCTTATTATTCCAAATACTCTTATCAAATTGAGTTTTAAAATTAATTTTAGGATTAATCTAATTTAATCTTTTTAGCAACCATATAAAGTTTACATAATCTTCATTTTATAGAAGGGGAAATTGAAGAACAGAGCAGTTAAGCATTTTGACTTAAGTTTGCAGAACTAATACATGGTAAGTTGCAGAATTGGGATTTGAATCCAGGCTATCTTCATCCCAAAGCTTGCTAGTAACCATTATACCATATTGCAACTCTGTTTGTGGCATTGGTCAGTGGAGCATGTCAGACTAAAAGTTAGGAGCACCTGGTCCATGGGAATTTTTCTAAGTACCTGTAGGAGTCCTGGAATGCCATCCCGTGGACTTTTTGAGGTGTGAGAAAAATAATAGTCTTTTTGGGTAAGGGAATGTAGCTGAGTTTTCTGATACAAGCTAATGTGTGCAGAAGCCTTTAAGAAAGAGAGAGTTTTCACGTTAAGTTTGAAGGGGAGGAATATTCAACTGGGTTGAGGGGAAAGAGATACCATTCCATGGCAGAGAAGCAGAGCCAAGATGTGAGCGCTGAGGAAGGTGGGAAACCAGCCACCTCAGGCAGAGTATAGTTAATGCAACCTGCATGAAGGACATGCTTGTGGGCCTCCAACAGCCAGTATTCTCAGCAGATGGGTGGTGGTACATCAGCCCTCAAGAGGAGGTCAGGAACAAGTGCCACAGTAAGCCACACAGCACAAGCAATTGGATCCTGGACATATTTTGAAATTAGATCCAGCAGGGAGAGAAGAGGCACTAGTGATTGAGTTAATAATCAGTCCTGCCTATATGACGAAGCCTCCTCCAAAACACCAAAATGACAGAGTTCAGAGTATGTCAAACACATGCAGTTGGCAAACACATGCAGTTCCCACAGAAGACCTCCACGCCTGGCTCCTCCTCGATTTCTCGCTTTGTATCTCTTCCATTTGGCTGTTACTGAATTGTATGCTTCACAATAAAACAATAATTATAAGCAAAATGCCTTTCTAGGTTCTGCAAGATGTTCTAGCAAATTGTTGAATCTGAGCAGGAGGTCGTGGAAACTCCTAATTTATAGCTGTTTGGTCCGAAGTATGGGCATCCCAGAGCTTGTGATTGGTGTCTGAAATGGTGGTCGTGTGCGATGGAGCCCTTTAAGCTGTGGGATCAGATGCTATCTCTAAATAGTGTCAGAATTCTGTTGACTTGGAAGTTGTCCAATTGTTCAGAGAGTTGGAGAACTGGTTGGTGTGAAACAAACCTCTTCTTTGGTGTCAAATGTGTAGTGAGTTAACAACCTAACACACATGCCCTATCCTTTCTTGAACTGAGCCTGCAATCACCTTTCAATCCTGTCCAAAAGCGAGGACTCCTTTTCGGCAAAATTTGAGGAGTCTTAGAAATGTAATACATTGAAATAGAAAAGAACAAGAGAAATGCACACTCTGTGTTTAAGATATCCATATCCTTAGGGAAATACACATCGCTTTTTAAAAATATCATTTTGCTTGATATGGGTAGGGATTTGTATTTAATCATAGAATAACATAGCCAATTCTGCCATCTGTTGGTTGTGTGAGCATTTTGAAAAAATGACTCTCAAAAGGAAGGCTTGAAATGAGTCCTTAACACCAAAAAATATGTGCTGCCTAAGGTGTTATAGGCAATAAAGGGTTGATCCCGTTTTAAAAGATTTTCAAAGTAGACAGTCTATAACTTTTGTTGCTTGCTCAATCCAAAACTCAAAAGTATTTTGGAGTGACTTGGTGGAATTTAAAGTTGGCTCTGTTTTTGTGTTTTGGTACGGGACACTGGACCCAGGTCCCCACAGTAAGCAAACAGTTCTGTTTTACACTTATTGGTAAGGTTACCACAGCTCAGATATTCTTACAGTAGCTTTGAAAGTTACATATGTGAGGATGCTACCCCTGTGATTTTTTTTCTAAACCAAGATTAATTTCTAATTCTTTAAGAATTCCTTTTAAAGAGATGGATTAAGGGAGATTTCCAGAAATTTGCATGGCTTCCAAGTCACAGTGTAATGCCTCAGGATTTTCATACCTATTGGATAACATTAGCTTAGTAGAAGTTGATGTCTTTAATTTCTTCAAAAATTAATCCTTCTGAAAGAAAAAGTCCTTCTAAATACTCAAAGTGAAACATAATATAGACAGTAATATGCATTTCTTTTATCTCTTGAATAACATACTTTTAAAATGCTTTTTAATGCTGAAAGGTATCCTGAAAACCTTTGAAACAGTACATATGCTGAAGCATAGCTTTTAAGTTAGAAAGCGTTAGTTCTTTTTCTACTTCACTTTTATGTAGCATTTTATTTTACATCTTGTCTTAGGCCGCAATATGAACCAGATATACAACTTCATACCCCATCCTCACTATAATACACCCTGGCTTTGTCAGGCCACTTTATAAACCCAATTTTGAAGAATATCCTACTCTTCCAAGATGTGAAAACCAGGTCCAGTGTTATCTGTTCATTCCATCTGCTCTCCTAACATGATTATAGTCAAGAGCCAATCATGATATGCTTCATGATATGGGCTGATGATTGATATTTCTAGCCACCTAGGTCCCCAAGTGACTGAAAAGATTTTTTTTTTCAGATATTATATGCAACAGGGATCATTTCCTCCAGTTCTGATACTTTGCTGACATAACAGTTAGTGAATAATTTGAAGACAAGAGCTATCATTTTGTTCCTCCTCAATTTCACATCTAAATCTGTGTCAGCATGACAGCCACTCGAACATTATACTTTGTGTTTAAACACTCTGCTCTAATGAATAGGCATTTCTCAGATAAAGAAGTACAAACAACAAATAAATGTATCAAAAAATATTCAGCGTTACTGGTCACTTGAGAGATGCACATTAGAACAATGCTGAGATTTTTTTCACCCCAGAAAGAATGGCTAATATCAATAACAGATCCACTAACAAATGCTGTGGGGCTGTGGGGAAAAAAGAACTATGCTTTATTTTTGGTGGGAGTATACATTGGTGCAATCACTGTGGAAATTAGTGTGGAGATTCCTCAAAAAACTAGAACTAGAGGTTCCTTTCACTTACACATGTGCATACCCATGTTTATAATGGCACAGTTTGTAATAGCCAAATCTTGGAAACAGCTCAAATGATAATCAACTGGTGAATGGATAAAGAAAAATTTTTTTTTTAATACACCGAGTACTACTCAGCCACAAAAAGGATAAAATTGGAGACATTGCTAGGTAAACAGATGCACCTTGAGACCATACCTTTTTTTTTTTTGTACAAGAGATCAAACTCACATCTTGTGCTCGTTACGTAGGTGCTTATACCACTGAGCTAAATCCCCAGCCCCTGAGACCATACTCTTAAGTGAGATAAATTGGACACAAATGTGTAAATACATTATTTCTCTGATGTGAGAATCTAAAAGTGTAAATAAGAACCAAAATGTATAACAGGTATTGGGAAATGGGAAGAGAATGTTCAAATGGGGAGGGAAAAAAAGGAAGGAGAGGAGGAAGGAAAGTAAGGAAAAGTGAAAAAAAGGAGAAAAGAAGGAAAAAATAGAAACAAAGCCTCTGTAAATGCGGAGGAGAGGAGGGGTTAAGGGGAGGAGAGATAAATGGGGGAGAAAAGAAACAAGCTATATATATTATACAAGTACAAATTTTCTATGATGAATGTGATCCTTATGAATATATAAAATGTACCAATAAAATCTGATTAGGAAGAAAAAATAATTCTGCTCTGATGCTCATCATCTTTTAAATCGCTTTCCCTGGTATCTAAAATATCTTAGCAACAACTCACGTCTTTCTGTACCCATCAAGGGCAGCAGTAATCAAAGTATCTTATCTGGTTGCTCACTGACTTTTTTCTCCCCAAGCGATGTATTTTTACTTTAAGGGTACAATGAAACAGAAGCTAGTGATTGGCAACCCCCTGCCTGGTTCTCAAGGAAACTCTTCTTGCCACAAACATATTTCTCAGCTGTGACTTCCTTCAGGAACTGAGATTCCCTGCTGATTGATTATCTATAACTAGATATCATTTGCAAGCTTGCCAAAGAAGTCAGAGCATTATGAAGATAGTTCAGACCATCTTCTGATAGAAAAACCCACCAAAATCATATATTAACATGAATCTTATTAGTAGAGATTTAAACTTTAAAAACGAGATACAATACATAAATATTGAAGTATTCGGGTCATGTGTAAACTTGATGAATTTACACACATACCCACACAGCAACCGTCTAGATCAAGATGTAAATTACTTTCAATATTCTACAAAGGTTCCTTGCTTTTCTTATGTCTTTCCCAACTAATAATCTAACTTAAGTCATCACAAATCTGTCTTCTTTCACATTTTTTTTTCTTTTTGTTCTCTAACTTCACAAGAGTGGAACCACACAGTTGTGTACATTTTTGTGTCTGGCTTCCTCCCTTATCAGTGTGTCAGTGAGATTTGCCCCTGTTCAGACCTATGATAGGGCTGAATTCTTTTTGAAATTATTGTTTATTATTCCATTGTTTCAGTATTTTACAGTATATTTAGCCACTCAGCTACTGATGGACATTTGGATTGTTGTACAATTTTGGGTTTTGGAAACAAAACTGCTTAATTGGAAATTTTCATGTGCAAAAGAGTTCATAGCTATACACAAATTCTGCTACTTTAATGATGTAGATAGTAGAATACCGAATGAAGGAGTCTCTGATACTTTTTGTAAGGCATTCGGACAGAATCCACGTATCATCCAGGTTGAGATCATCTGTGGAACATAAGTAACAAAGGAATAGATAAATTGTACTTCATCAAAATTAAGAATTTTGTGTGTTAAATTATACTACCAAACAAAAAAATTACAACTAACTACAGGGAAATATTCTCAGATCACATATCTGATAAAGAATGAGTACCTGAAATATAAAAAGAATGTGTAAAATTCAAAAACAACAAGAAAAAAACCCAAATTAATCCAATTCAAAAGATAGGAAAAGACTCAAGTGGACATTTTTTCTAAGCAGGATGTACACCTCACCCATCAACCCATAAAAAGATGCTCAATATCATTAATCACTAGACATATGCAAATCAAATCCATAGGGCTTTCATATCTACTAGTTATATAATCATATAACTAAAACCAAAACAAAATTGAAAATAACAAGTGTTAATGAGGACATGGAGAAACTAGAAAACTCATGCATTCCAGGTACTAACAAAATGGTGAAGCCACTGTGAAAAATAATTTAGCAGTTTCTCAAAGAACTACTATGTAACTCGGCAATTTCATTTAGGTATATATTCAAAAGAATTTAAAGTAAGTATTTGAACACATTTGTACACCAAATTATGCAGCAGCGTTATTGACGATAACCAAAAGTGAAAACAATCCAAGTGTCCACCAACAGTTTATAAATAAAATGTGATCACATACACATAAAGGAATACTATTCAGCCATAAAAATGTAATTTTGATATATGCTACAAAATGGATGAGCTTTGAAAACATTTTTAGTGAAAAAAGTCAGACACGAGAACATGGCGGACAGATAACAGCAACTACCGGCAGCTCTCTGAAAGACTCGGCTCAGAAGCTAGGAATGGTGCGGACTAAGGAGACATAAGCAGGTGGAGATATGCTCTGCTGACTCAGGAACGAACTGGGCTGAGAGAAACCAACTTGGAATGCAGTCCTGGTGCTAAAACAGGAACAGAAAAGCCTCGGTGTGGAGGCTGGAACCGCGCCATTGTAAGCCGCGATTTGGGTTTCCCGCCGCGCAGCGGCTGGCTGCCTCTACAGTGGCTCTGCAAGGAGAGAGACGCGCAGAAGCTCTGAGAACGGCAATCTGCGAACGGCAGGGAGGCGTGCACTGACTTGTGGTGAGGTGAGTGAGAGAAACTGACACTCTACCACAGTTTGACTCCAGCAGAGGACTTTCTGGGCCCGAGCAGTCCTGCGGGAGCAGGGCGCGGTGGCGACTCCAGCCACACATCCCCCTTTCGGGCGGGATTGGTGAAAAGTGCCTGGCCTGCGTGACGCTGCCGGCAGACCTGGTAGACTGTTCCAACCCAGATCCCACAGCCTGACGGTGGCCGGGAGGGGAGACGTGTAGGCTGCCTGGTCCGTAACTCCCTGGTGCGCAGCGGTGAGCGGGAACACCTAACTGGCGCAATTCGATCAGGCTGTGGCTGACTGGGAGAGAAGCTGGGCCTCTTATATAAGCTTGCATATATAAGGAACAGAGAAGAAGAGGCAGCATGGGAAGAGGCAGCAACAAGAAAGGCTCCTCGGCCCCCAATGCTGAGAAACAGGCAATAGCAGACACCGCACCAATACACATAAGGCGCCATATAGAGAGCCTCATAGACCAATTCAGGAATGAAGTTATCAACGACCTGAAGCTAGAAGTATGCAGAATAGTTAGAGAAATGCTAAGTACCACCCAAGAAAAAACAGGTGGTGGAATGGAAGAACAGAAAAAAAGGGGAGAATTGTTTGATGGAGAAAACAGAGAAAGCATAGAATACGTGAAGCAGGTTCAAAGGGACTACCAAGATACTAAGAAGTCTATCGAAGACTGGCATAACAGCTTGAAAGAAACTAAGGACAGACTATCTGAACTGGAGGGCAGACTTGTAATATGGGAGAATGAAATGAAAAACTTCTTAAAAATAACAAAGAAACAAACAGCAATAATACAAAGACAAGAAGATGATAAGAGGATCCATAACTTAAGGATTAAGAACATAAAAGAAGAAGTAGGGACACAAACAAGTGAACTACAAAAGCTACTCACAGAAATAATCCAGGAGAATTTTCCTAATTTAGCAAAAGGTAAAGATACTCAGATGTATGAGGCATACAGGACCCCAGCTACCTACAACCCAAACAGAGCAACACCCAGGCATATAATAATAAAAATTCCAGAAATTCAATACAAGAACAGAATATTAAAAGCTGTCAGAGACAAGAAACAGACCACTTACAAGGGAACACCCATCAGAATTACAGCAGATTTCTCTGCACAAACCATCAAATCACAAAGAGCGTGGGGGGAAATAATTCAAGCTTTGAAAGATAATAATCTCCAGCCAAGATTGAGATATCCTGCACAACTGTCCCTGGAAATTGATGGAAAAACAAGGTGCTTCCAGGATAAAGAGGAACTGGGGGAATTTGCAACCACCAATTCAACTCTACAGAGAGTATTGCAGGATATTCTAAAAAAAGAAAAATACAAGGAATCCAGAAATAATGGCAGAGAGGCCACAACGAATGGAGCAGAGAACAAAATGAAGAAGACAAACTGACAGCTACTGACAGAAAAAGAGCTCAACAGAAATGAGGCAGAGAAGATTGGATGATAGGAACAGCTATTTTGGAGAAAATGACATCTTAATAGGTAATACTGATTTAGTATCATCTTGTTTTGAAGTCTCATCTAGCTTTTGTCCTTCTGTCTCCAATGGTCTAAATAGGCTGTATCTTATTGGATTTTATTATGTACGATAGTATAAGCAAAAACCTTTTAAAGACAAGGAGATTATACAGAGACCATTGTTCATTTTCTGTTAGTCGATTCTAAATACTCTGTAATGCTGTCATTCTCTTGAATGGTTTTACATTGTTTTGATATACTTAATGCTACAGTATACGAAGTTGTACTCAAGGATTTCATAGAAAGAGACAATATGGTAACTACTTTTAGGTTAGGATTATCTGGTGGTGAAACACTATTCTGCTTAAATAGTTATGTTTTGATCTGCGCTGTTTCGTTGTTATGCCCTCTTTTATCTCAATCTCCACTCCATTATTTACTTTTTTATCTTTATCCTTTTAATTAAAGGAAAAAAAATAGCAGGATATATTATAGTAACCCACTTTGACTTTTCATTACCTTGATTTAAAGCCCTGTATTACTCTCACCTTCTGGTTTTTAACTGATGTTCCCCTATTCTGTTTTGCTGGATAGTATCAGGTTCGAAAGTTTAGGCATCAGCTGTGAAGATAATGAGATTCATTATGACGCCCATTCTTGTTGACTTTTATCTACTTTTGAAGACCTACAATGTCTCCAATGTTTTGGTTTTGTCAGTTTTATTCTTCACTGTTTTGTTCAATTGTATTATAACTAACGATATAGGCAATTCTATTAGAGATAGCGGGAGGCATTATGGTAACCATTGTTGATCACCTTGTATTATGTTTTTACATTATCTATTATGTCCACCCTTTTGACTTGACCGATTCTGTTCTGTTATGTCACATTTGGTTTTACTCTCTTCCAAAAAAGTAATAAGAACCGTGGGAGCAATGAAACCCAAAATGTGTAATAGTCATGGTACAAAAGAGAGGAAAAGAAAGTGCTCCAAACTATATAACTGCATGTATATTTAAGTGTATAAGATAGAAAATGATATCACAGAGTTTTATTGGATCAATGAACAGAACTGTTTGCAGTATCATTGATGGAATGTCCACTTTACAAGCTTTAATTTTGTGACTTGAACAATTATTTCTAAGATGACAATATGTAATCCATTAACTAGTGATTTCCTACTGTTCATTTTTTTTCTGTAAATCTGTATAACTTGTACCCTTTCCCTGCTTTTTTTTCTTTTCTCCTTAAATAAAATTTAAAAAAAAAAAAGTCAGACACAGAAAGGAATATATTTATTATGATTTCAGTTATTTGAAGTGTCTAGATTGAGGAAATCCACTGAGATAGGAAAGGGTTAGGGATGGGAAGTAAAGGGTAGGGGAATTATTTAATGGGTAGAGACAGCCATTGGGGATATGAATAGTGGTGACGTTTTACAACATTGTGAATGTATTCAATATCTAAGCTGAATACTTATTGATAATTAAGATGATAAATACTACACATATTTTATCTTAACTATAGGTATAAAAGAGTAGTTTTTTTCTGTTCCTTCATTTAGCCCATACTCAATGAACACCAGCTGAAAGCAAGTGTGTGTGTTAAGCTGTCATGGAAAGAAAGATGAAGCAGACATATTGTATTAGTTTTTTATTGTTCTTTTTTCACTTTCTTTTTTCCTTCCTTTCACATATTTATTAGTTCATCAACTATTGCTGAGCACCTGTGACACATAAGGGGCTTATAGAAAGTGAGGATTCAGCCTGGACTGAGACTAAGAAGGTTTTTGTCACACTAGATTTTACATTCCAGTGTGGGAATGAAATAATGAAAACAGAAATACATTAGTTAATTAGATAGCCTCAGCCTACATCCAGTAGGTAGCCAACAGGATACTGTGATAGAAAAGGATGTGGGGAAAGCATGTTAGTTTTTCTGCACTGAAACTAGCTAGGCAATGGCCTGAAGGTGTGTGAATGACACTGTGCTAGTCTTTTAGGGGAAACTCTCAAAGGAGAGAACTTGGGACAGTTTGATGAAGGAGAGGAAAGAAAACTTAAAACTCCATGGCAGTTTGTACCGTGGGGAACTCAGAAGGAAATAAGATACTTCTGGGCTTTCTGTGGTCTGCAGGAGCAGCCAACAGCTGTCTTGTGCATCACGGTATATCCAGTGTATAGCACCAAGGGGACAGACAGAAAAATACTCCAGCAGCAGGAAGTTGCGGGAAAACCCATTGACCCTGAGAAGCATACTTTTTTTTTTTTGTCTTTTTCCTTTTTATTGGTGCCAGGGATCGAACTCACGACTGCCTGCTTGCAAGGCAGGTGCTTATGTCACTGAGCTAAATGCCCAGCCCCCTGAGAAGCATACTTTTATGGGACCAGTTCTTTTGTTGTAGATAGAAGAAAATCCAGTGGTGCTTTGAGTGCTAGGTCATGATGCCCAGACACCTCAATCATGATGGACTTCTTGGCTTTTGGCAGGGCCTCCTGGAAAGTCAGTGAGAAAGGAATAGTAACATGTTCAGGGGAGTCTTCTTCCTGCCCCTTCTTGGCCACACCGTGGGAGAATGCCCCTTGGAAGAAAGAAGACTTGATACTGGCTACGGGAAAGGATTGTCTCTTGTACCCAGGTTGCGACTTACCACAGGGTCACTCATACTGAAGCCCACCTTGGACTCAGTGGACAAACACAGGTCATTATCAAGAACCTTACCCTTATGATTTATTTCTGACACATTCACTTCTTATGCCAAAGACCACAATCTTCTCTTGTGGTAGCTTTAAAACTCTGATGGGCAGAAGATGTTAACTATTGTCCTGTGGTTGCTTTTATTTTTCTGTATTTTTTTCAGTATGAGGGATTGAACTGAGCTACAGCCCCAACCTTTTTTTGTGAGATAAGATATTACTGAGATACTAAATTTCCCAGGCTGGGTTCAAACATGGGATCCTCCTGCCTTGGGTATTAGACCCATAAGGATGATGTTTTCATTCTTTTCTTGAGCTTTCTTTTCTTTTCTTTTCTTTTTTTTTTTTTTTTTTTTTTTTTTTTTTTTGTCTTCTTTGAGACGGGGTCTCGCTATGCAGTTCAGGCTGGCCTTGAGCTCACCTTGTAGCCCATACTGTCTCGAACTCGCAACGACCCTCCCACCTCAGTCTCCTGAGTGCTGGGATAACTCGCAACGATCCTCCCACCTCAGTCTCCTGAGTGCTGGGATTACAGACATGAGCCACCACGCCCAGCTCTTTTCTTGAGTTTTCTCACTTTAATTTATTATTATCATCTTCATGTTATCTGGGTGGCTTTGAGGTAGCAGCTGTTGAAGGCTGTGGCCAGGCTAACTCCCTATACTCAACCCCATTGTCATAGTTACTTTTTTCATATTGCCAAGGCTAAATACCTGGCACTCAAGGGCAAAGGAAGAAAGATTTGTTTTGCCTCATTGTTTGTAGAGGCTTTAGTTCATAGTTGGCAGTATCTCAGAGGAGAAACAGTTCATGGCAGGCAGAAGGCAGCAAGCAACAAGTGACAAGTAACAATACTAGCATTCTATCCCTTATATTTTATCCAGGCTACCCACACTTAGGGCAGGTAGAACTCACTCCCATATTGGGACATTGTAATCCTACCAGAAGTGTGCCAAACCAATCAGTGGACTAATTTAGTAATCACATACGTTTGAGTCTAGCATCACTCTAGATTCAGCCACCTCTGAAAAGCCCCACCTATGATCTCATGAGGCTGGGGGGGGGCATTTAAGCACAAATCGTAATACCCATTCTCCTACCTGATCTTTGTAGTTCTCAATGTTTAAAACAGTGGCTTAGTGATTATTATACTGAATATGAAGAATAAAGAATAAAAAACATAGAATGTATTTTTATTGTCCATGCTATATTTCTCATAAGTAGTAATGTTTAGTGTTTCCAAAATGATATATAGTAAGCTGTGACAGGATCGTCATACTTAATTCTGAACTCACTCTGATGCCATCCTAAACAGGGAGACCACAGGGAAGAGAATAGAGAGGCAGAGTGTCTTAGCACAGCTCATTTAAACGTGAACTACAAAGACCTCTGCAAGTACGGGGCAGTTCAACCTCTGTCCTTTTCTCCCAACCAAGCCACTTCCACCCATAAAACCTTCAAGCTCTGTCAGACCACAGCCAAAAGGCAGGGACTAAAGAACCCTGGGAGATAAACGGGCCTGCATCCCCAGGCCCATTTAAGAAAGCTCTCTAAGCTTTTCTTCCCCAGAATGTGGCATTAGGGAGGAGATCTGGGCTAAAACGATTATCCCTGGGCTGCTGCCAACAGAGAACATCACACTCCTAGCTTAATAATAAAAGATAAAGAATAATGTAAGCGGAATCCAAAAGAAATGTAATTCCATTTCCTTCTTATCTGAGTGATCTGGGTGGACAAAGACAGGGGCTCTACTGAGAGCAAATTAAGCCCTCTGATACACAGCGCAGCTTGTAGGGCAGCGCAGGGAGTGGGGGAGTTGAAAGGAGAGGTAAGGGCCCTGCCCCACCGCAAAGACACAGATCAGAAAGCAGAGAAGAAGGAGGTGAGGTGATGAGCAGCCGGCCACACTGCAATGCCTCTCTGCCTTAAACCGCGGGGAGTCAGAAACTTCTTGAGCACATGCCCAGAGGAGTGTTTCAGAAGCATCTAGTTCCCTAAACCAAAGAGAAGAGCTGAAACTGTAGAACCTTAATAAATAGTTGCTGGTTGAATTAATGGTTCAGATTATGATGAAAAAAGGGGAAAGAATTTAGAAACAGATTTCACTAAACTTCTATTAAAAACAAGATCAAAAATGTTATCAGACTGATATCATAATTAGAACTTTAGGTTATGTGTAGCTTTATATTTGCATATTGTTTTAAATTTAAGGATAGTAAAATCCAACAAAACAAGACAGAACAAAGCTAATCAGAAAAATGCAGCAAAATTGGTACAGAACCAAAGCAGGATACTGGGAAAACAATAATAGCTACCATAGTATATCTTGTTATCTTCACAATAGTTGTCTATTCAATCAGGGATGGCAAAATCAAACCAAAAGTAAAACACTATTAAACTAATCAAAGCACAATATTGAATAAAGCAAAACAATTAATCAGAATAAAATGAAACAGTGAAAACAATATTGGCCTTCAATACTGCATACTGTCATCTTCCCTATAGATGCTCAGACCTCTGGCCCCAGGCCTGCATTATCATCTTCCTTATAGATGCTCAGACCTCTGGCCCCAGGCCTGCATTATCATCTTCCTTATAGATGCTCAGACCTCTGGCCCCAGGCCTGCATAATCAACCAAATAATACAAGCATTTAGTTGCTTTACGTACCTTAGTTGCTGTCAACTCAGACTGTCCTTGGTTATCCAGTTGCTAAGAGGAATTGGGGATATGGATGGTGTTTGATTCTCAGCCCACTCTGGTAGGTTCATGGGAGTTGCTGTCTTTTCTCTCCCTGGAACGCATGCGTGGCTTGCACAGCTTACCAGGAAGGTTGGTAGTTGATTTCTTGATTGGTCCCCCAAGTCCCAGCATGGCTGATTCTCTTCTATTTGCATATTAAGTGAGGTAACAGAAATAGTGAATGAATGTGACTTATAGAATGTGATAAAAGCACAAGCCAACTCTTGTTCCTGCTAATTCTACATGGTCTAATTTGTGTGGTAATGGTGGACTGAAAACTGTTGTTCAACTTCAACACCAGCTGAACTGAATCATGTAGTGCTGAGTGTAGATGGATCACCAGAGGATTTTTGCAGCATGAGAAGGAGACCTGGAGAGGAAGAGTAGTGTTATTATTGTTAGGAGCTGTTGGGTTTTTTGGGACTGCTGGGTTCTCATGGAGGAGTCTGTCATGCTCACTTTCCTAATACAAACTTGGCTGTTATCATCTGAAGAGTTTGGGATCTTGTCACTGAGGATGGATGTGGTTCACTTTGGGGGAGCTCTGGTCCTAACTTTCTGGCTGCAAAGGGGACAGTGGTGTGCTGTTCAATCCCCAGGAAAAGCTTGTCACAGTGGTTTCCTGATAAGAACTCAGCTGTTCTCATCACCACAGCAGCTCAAGACCTAGTCACTGAGGATGTCTATCGTACTTTTAAGGAGAGCCTGGGTTCTTATTTTGAGCATCACTTCTTGGCTCCAGTGCAGAGACCTCAACCTACTGGCACAGATTCTTTATCCCACTGGCACAGACTTCCTAGTTTCACCTCTGAGCTTGGGGCCGTCCCAGGGCAGATCCATAAAACAGACTTGCATGAGTCATTGTCATGGGTTCCAGTTGGATTCATGGGAGGCATTGTCATGGGCTCTAGATCTTCCGCTGAACTCACGCAAGATATTGCTGTGGGATACAGGCCCTCAGTGGATTCTGTAGGTCTTTAGTGTGCAGATAAATTTCCTACACTTCTTTTACCTAACTCTGTGGGTGACTATTTCAAAATAGTACTATAAATTATGTGTACTGTATATAACTGCTTTCCTTGCAACCCCTGACCACAATGGACACTCAGTCCACTATGCATCAGAATACCAAGACCTGGTAAGAATAAAATGAAAGCCCTGAGCTTCCTTTACTGTCAAATTTCCTTGCTGCAGCCTTGCCAGTGTGGACTGGCTGCCTGTGGGAGAGGGAAGTTGGTCCTTTGTGTCACCTTTCCTGCTCCCCTTCTCTTTAGTCTACCCCTGGGCTTAGAACAGAGGCAAGAAGGGAAAATGCAAGCAGGGACTGTCTTACTTCTGCTTCTCTGCCATAGTTTGGCTTTGCACAGAATGAGGCTGATACTTAAAGCTGACACTTTCTTGAAGGCACTTTTTGTGGTCCCTTGGCTAGTGTTCTCAGAGGGCAATGAGACCCGTTTCCTTTGGCAGCTCCTTCGGTCTCACACTCTACGAGGTCTGTTATCTCCACTAGGAGATCCTGAGGTAAAACCTAAAAAAGCCACAGAATGGCCAGCCTTGATCCTGAGTGAAAACAGAGCTTACACTTTGACTGGGCATCTAGAAGAGTGAAATTTTCTGCTTACAGTTTTACATGTGTTAAGATTGGCAGAATCTTAAGCCCTAACTTCTTGCTTCACTTTTTTTTTGTTTTTGTTTGAGATAGAGTCTTGCTATGTAGTTCAGGCTGGCCTTGAATTCACACTACATAGGCAAGGCTGGCCTCGAACTCATGGTGGACCTCTAGTCTCAGCCTTCCAGCAGGAGGCTACAAAAAAAAGGTACTGGGAATGTTGGAATCCATTCCTGCAGCACAATAGCTAGCAATAATGCAGAAATGCAGAAATGAGCCACATAAATGGAACCCACTTACCCCAAACTCTATCTCTACTCGTCCTTGGCCTCTTTAATACACTATACAGAAGAGCAAGTATGACAGAAATGCTGCTGGAAAGGGAGGAGACAGAGGCTGTGAATGACTGTGGCTAACATCTTAACAATTTTACAAAAACATTTGATTATATAAACATGCTTTTGCCTGGGCCCCAAACAAGACCTTGACAGTGGTTTGAGCAAACAGAAGGCGTGTGACTTATTAACTTTGTGGCAAATTTGTCAGCCAGAAATGAGCCATGTTTGAATGAGTGACCTATTTACAGTAGATTTATGTTTTGGGAGTTGATGCACTGCTACGCTTGTGGGTATATTTAGGTTAATATATCCACTGCCAGAGTTTAGGAGTTGGCTAACATCCAACAAGACTCAGCAACTCAGTAGAATTTTCCTAAGCTTTATTTCCTAACTTTTATTTCTTAGCCTCAAAGAGTAAGGAAAATTACTGACCTCACTAGTGTATTCCTGTATCACTGAAAGGTGTTTAACCTAGCAAATGAAGACATTTCAGTAAATTGGCAAGGAGGAGACTCATGGAAAGACCATGAAGAGGATGGCTTATGCTCAGACATTGGGAAAAGGAAAGAGAAAATAATAAGATGCGATAATTATCAATTTACAAATCTCTCCATATGCTTTTTTGTTTTTTGTTTTTTTTGTTTTTTTGTATTTTCCAAGGGAGCAACCACAGTTGGGAATGATTTAGCTGCAAGTAACAGAATACTTATCTAACAAAAGGCTCAACCAATAAGGCTAACTAACTTTTAAAACAATAGTTTCAAAGGTAGACGATTTGATAATTTTTCTATTTTAGGACTCTGGGTATATCAAATCAGAGTAGTTTACAGTTCTATCTCAATATTGAAACATTATTAAAAATTAATAATTGTATGTAATTATGGAGTTTAGAGTGTTTTTCTGTTTTGTGTTATTTGTTTATTTATGTCTTGAGATAGGGTTCTGCTATGTAATTCAAGATGGACTTGAACTCACTAGTTAGCCCAGGTTGGCCTCAAAACTTGCCGTGATTCTCCTGCCTCAGTCTCCTGAATGCTAGGATTACAAGCATGTACCACCACACCCACCATTAGTGTGCTCTTTCAACACATATATACAATATGTACCAATCAAGTAAGAGTAATTAATATTTCCATCTTTTTTCATTACTTTGTGTGTTTAGAAACTTCGAGCTCCTCATTTCTGATTATTCAAAAAATACATTACAGGTTGTTGTGAAGCCACTCCCACCACCATTCTGTAGAACAACAGAATTTACTCCTGTGTTTTGGTAAGTTTTTTTTGGTGGTACTGGGACTTGAACACAGAATCTTTGCTTTGAGCTATATCCCCATTCTTATTTAACTTTTTATTGTGAGATAGACTCTCTCTGAGTTGCTCAATTGCTCAACTGCCCAGGCTGCGCTTGAGCTGTGGCTCCTTCTGCCTCAGCTTCCCAGGGAAGAGTGCTAGGACCAGAAGAGTATGCCACCATGCCTGGCTTTTGGGTGCACTTTGTCCACCATTCTTCCACAACCCTTATCCTCTGGGCCCTTATCTCGTTGGTTCTTATGATTAAAGCATGGTTGTCATAGCTCCAGATATCATCTGTACAAAAGATGAAAACAGGAGGCAGCTGGAGACTATGTCTTTGTTCCTCTCCCCCAACTCCTCTCTTTCTTTTCTTTCCTCCCTCCCTTCGTCCCTTTCTCTCTCCCTTGCTCTATCTCCCCCCTCCCTCCCTTCCTTGAACATAAACACCAAACATCTACTTCTTGCAGCTGTGGAGGCTGAGGAGTCCAAGACTAAGTGCTAACAGGATCATTTTCTTCCACCATTTTATTTTTTATTCTTTCCACTCTCAAGATGGGTCATCAGTATTTCTTCATTTAATGGTTATTATGAAGAGGTAAAGAGGTGTAGGGTAAGGGCTGTGAGAAGGCACAAGAGGCTTCCGTGCCTTCTCAGTTAAGCCAGCACCCAGGAATCTCTCTGTGTTCAGCTATCTGGAAGCTCAAGATATCCTTTCTATAGAGAAGAAAATGGGATGAAAAGAGAATTAAGGTGTGTTAGGTATATGTTATGGTTGATGCATTGTGTCAACTTGAGTAGTTTAGTTTAACTAAGAGACTCAGCAGGAAGCCAGGGTTCCTAGTTTGTAAATATGGTAGTTCTGTGCAAGAGGAGAGCAAGGAGATTTTGTGAGCACTACACCTTCCATGGGGGTGGTGATGGCCTGTGTATAGTTTGAAGGAGGAAAAGAGGTTTGCTCTTCCTTCCTTTTGTTCTAGCTGTTTTCACTGGCTGCTCCCTTGAAGGGTTACCCTGGTACCATGCCCCCTGCCTTGGAATCAGCTGATTATGGACTAAAACCTCCATAAACTGTAAGCCAAATAAACTTTCCTTCATTTTGGGTGTTGGGTATTTTGTCCCAGAAATGAGAGAAAACTAACCAAGACAGCATAGGTATGAACTCCACATGACGAATATAGTCATTACTACTAGAAACGTTACTAATAAAAATTAAAAATAAATTTAAAAAATAACTTCTTTTGAAGTCTCACTGGCCAAATTGGGGAACACGAGCACTCCCAGCTGCAAGAGGGAATTGGGAAGGTAGATGTCTGTAATGGGGCTCGGGAGCCCCATGATTATCTTAGATTAACCAGGGATGCCCTGAACAAAAATATGGATTGTATTGACAAGAAAGAAAGGGAACAGGCACATGTGTATAATCCCAGCACTCCAGAGCCTGAGGCAGGAGGATCACTGTGAGTTTGAGGCCTATGCTACATAGGCAAGTTGAAGGCTGGCTTGAACTACACACTGAGACTCTGTCTCAACAACAAGAAGAAAGAAAAAGACAGAAAGAAGGAAGGAAAGAAAGAAAGAAAGAAAGAAAGAAAGAAAGAAAGAAAGAAAGAAAGAAAGAAAGAAAGGGACTGGTTGTTGGAAAACAACTAACAGTACATGCAACTAGACTTGTTAGGTTCAATGTCTATAAAATTACTGAACATCAATAGGTTGAGTATAATTTCTTTTACTTAGCAATTACTAAACTAACATGCATGGAAGACATACACAAATACAAACTATTGTTATTTCTAAGCAAATGTTCAATGCCAGGAACTGGTACTACATGTTACATATACTTTATTTGCAATTCTTTCACCACCCTTGCAAGGTGAATATTATTATCACTGTTTTCAAGAGGTTATGTTCTCAAAAGGGAAATCAGTGCCTTTATTCAGATTTCTATCATTAAAGTTTTACTCTTGAACTTTCAATAAGTCATGCAGATAGTTTCTGACTTCCTTACGATTAGATCTGTGAGCCATTCATACTGATAAGGAGTACCATGGGTTTATTGCTGTGTCTTATTCTATTGTTTGAAAATGTCATATTTTATTTATTTGTTTCATTGTAGATTGATATTTGGGGTTTTTCCAGGTTGGGAATATTATGAATAAAGCCATTTTAAACATTCTGTACTATATCTGCTGGTAGAGAGAATCACTCCTTTCTCCTGGGCTTATGCACAGTAAAAGGGTATTAATAGTGTTGTGGATTCTCTAGAAAAGATTTCCAAAGTAGTTGTACCAAGCGTCACTCTTTCCAGCAATTTACACTTGATCCATCTGTCAGTGCATGGTTTTGTTTATGTGTGTGTGCGCACGTGTATGTGTGTGTGTGTGTGTGTGTAATTTTAGAAGGTAGTAAGTATGATGGAAAAGTTGGACAAAATTCAGAGGACTTGAAGTGTCGGGGAAAATAGAATGGTTCGAAAATTTAAATATAGTGGTCAGTGTGAGTATCTTGTTTGCTTTTTGAAAAGATGCCAATCAAGTAAAGCCACGAACAAGAGAAATAACAATGTAGGCATATGAAGAAAGTATTTTAGAGAAGGAAGAGCTAGTGCAAAGGCTTTAAGTGCCTGATATGTTCAAGGAAAAGGCCTTTGTGGAAGAAATAGAGCAAGAGGAAAGCAGCAGGAGATAAAAGAGAAGGAAAAGGAACCAGAGAATGTAGGATCTTCTGGGAAATAATGAGGGCTTTCTCTGAGTGAAGACAGAGCTACAGCAAAAGTTTGAGGAACTGAATGACATAATAATACTTGCAATTTCAAAGATCATTTTGGCCTCTGGATTGAGAATTGACCATGGGGGCAGGGAGCAGTTAGCAGTCTGTTGGCAAGTGGTGACCATGGCTTGAGCCAAGGTAGTGGCAGTGGACATGCTGAGAAAACCCAGGTCCCGAATGTACTTTAAAGGTGAGTCGACATCACCAGCTTTATTAGCAGGCTATGAGAATAACAATATTAGCACATCTGGACCTTTACAATGTACATATGCTGGTTTATTAACCTCATTGACTAAAGTTCAAAGAGGTTAACCAATTCATTATGAAAGATACACATTTCATATGCGATAGACCATGGATTAAGCTTTAGCAGGTTTGTATAACATTGGGGTTCAAATTCAGGGCATTGTGCATGTTAGGCAAGCAGTGTGCCATGAGCTATTTGCCTGGCCCAAAACAAGTGCTTTAAACTTCTTGGTCACTAGGTCTGTTTTGCTTTCTGCCTAGCCACTGCCTTGTATATAAAAGGGGATCAATATCTTTATGTTTAACTAACTAATGGTACCATGTACTCTGTCTTGTACTTATCGAGATTAAACTGCATGTTTGCCTTTGGGTTATTTTAAAATTTTTTATACGTACATGTTTGCAATACATAATGATTGCATCACCACAGGGAGTAGGCATGTGTACGTAACACATCTTAATTCTTTTATGTCCTCTTTTTCTTCCCCTTCCTCCTATCTCTGATTTTTAAAAAATGGTTAATGTATAGCAAATACCAACTTTTTGACATATAGTTCTATGAGTTCCAATCTGTGCACAGATTTTTGTAAACATAGTCAGGATACAGAACATTGCCACATCTTCAAAAATTCTTTTGTGCTACCCTTTGGTAGTCAAATCTCATACTGCCAAGTCACTGCTCTGTTCTCCATCTTTCTGTGCTGTAAACAATAGTCTCCATCCTTTTGTGTGAGTGAAAGTATGTATTTTTAGGCATAGTTTACTCATTCATATAATGAATGCTTAGTAAACTTTGTAAAAAGCTGCCAAATTGTCTCCTAAAGTGTCTGTGACATTTTGCATGTCCTTCAGCACATGAGAGTTATCAAAGCTCTGGCCTATTCATCAGCACTTGGTAGTGCCAATTTTATTTTTTATTCTAGCTACTCTAATGGGTATGAAGATTATGAGATTTCACCTGCTTTTGAAATTTACGGTAAAGGTGTTTAGGCTCTAAAGTTTAATTTATAGGCTGAGAGCTCTAAGTAATTGTGATTAATAAAAATTATTTATTTTGTTTCAATACTTGAAAAAATTTATTCCTTGCTCTTTTTAACCCAGATACTATTTTGTTTTGAGACTGTCAGGTTACGATGATGAAACAAGTATGAAAAATATACTTTGCAGGCAGGTTTTTGAGGACAAATAGGCAGTCACTACTATTTGCAATATTTCGAGGCTTTGCTTTTCTTTTAGGATGTAATAGAAACCAGAGGTTATAAGATGAGAAATGGAAAACTACTATAAGAAACAAGAAATATAGTACTAATAAAGATTTAGTCCCTAATTAAATTAAGGCACTATTTACCAAGTAACCAACATAGTGAAGCTATTGTGTTAGTTTCTATGGAAACAAAAAGTATAAAATTCAGTTCCTATCTATGCTATGTCATAACCCAGCTATGCATAGAAGTAAAATGTAAACAAAATTTAAATAACCATTCCAATAACACTAAAATACTTATCTGTGGTGTTTAGAATAGAGTACTATCAACTTGACTGGCTTTGGCATCTACCTGGGGAATTAGGAGGCTAACCTCTCTGAAGTTGTTCCCTGTTCTGCTTCTCAACTGCTATGAATTAAACATCTTTGCTCTGCCACACCCTTCTGCCATGATGTTTCTTCCTGGGAGCCTGGCATCTGTGGGCTGAACCCTCTGTATCTGTGATCTAAATCAAACCTCTCCTCCCCTTGAGTTGTGGGTGTTGGGTATTGTATTCTAGTGATGGGAAAGCTGGTGAATGCTATAAGACTTTAATCTTTCAAAGAAATAGTATACACAACAAAAATACTGTGCAGATCTTTATGTAATGTACTGTCACAATTATTTAAGTCACCTCTTACAATAGATAATCTGCAGGAGGTGAGCCCAGCACTATTTTCTCAGTCCTTAGGCAGTAGAGGAGATTTGAGCTAGGCATGGGAGAACAGATGAGATTAGAAACCAAGAAGATGTCATTCTAGCTCAGTACAGGGTCAAAAGTCACTGTTCACAGATGGAGGTGCATGGCACACATATGCACAAGCTGTCTTGTTAACAGAGGAGTATAAATAGCAGTTGTCAGCTACTGAGCACTAAGTTTGAGGCAAGCACAGTGCTAACATACACAGGGTACCTCATTTAAGCTCTACAGCAACTTAGTTTGATAAAGAAACTAATATTTTAGAACCTTTCCTACAGTTTCAAGCCTCATGATTTGTAGAGCTGATATTCTAAACCAGACAGTCTGATTCTAGTCATCAACTTCTACACTATACTCAATAGTAAAGCTAGAAAGGAAATTCGAGGTCAGATTTTAGAAGTCCTAAAGTTTTTAAGTTTGCCTAGAGGGCTTCTGGTTC